TGTGAAAACATAAAATTTTCCGAATAAACGGAATGAGCTAAACATTTAAATGGCTGATTCGATTTTGTAAAATTTTGAGACGTTTTTTATTGCTGAATTTAATGTTTAAAATGTATAGTAAAATAGAATAAATAGAAAACGATTGCGTGTTTATATTCATTCATACGATTTAACCTTGGTTTCTTAATAAAAGAGTTATGATCCCAATAACACCTCTTCGATTTCATATGTTTAAAATAATCTTAGGCGGGTGCCCGGGGAAGGAGGCGTTTAAGTCACCTCACCCTCTGCGGACCGTTTTTTTTTTTTGTAATTTAATAAATAATAATAAATGTAATATAATAAACATTGGTATACTAAAAAATGTAAATTTGATATTCATACTTCATTATATTACGTCAATATATTTATATATATGCATTTCCAATCAAGTTGAAAAGTTATTACATTTGGTTCATTTGAGTTGTGATAACAATTATGAATGATTATGAACAAAAATAAACACAGAATTCTGTAAACATCAACTCTCATTACAAATTATCTATTAGAGTTTGTAATGACAAAATATACTGACAATTTAATTGATATTTTCAAAAGTTTTCCTTTTACGTTCAGAAGGATGGTGTTGGAAATAGTTATGCATGTATATGTTAATATGTTATATATGTTAATATGTTTTAGTTTAGTGACATTTTATAAGTATAAATTACTGAAGTAATAATACATTTTTTTATCGGTACCTTTTATTATTATTATGCTGTTACTATTATAATAATAATTTATTACAAGAATGTTTGGTTCAGATATTTTTAATGTGAGCCCCCCTGCGGACAAAGTCTGCGCATGCGTATGAAAATAGTATGTCAAGTAGGTAATATTATTCGTCGCTCGTTTAAACATAATGTATAATGTACAATGTGTAATATTCATTGTAGCTACTACAAATTCGATGTTTATTTCGTCATTTAACCTTTAAAACATAATAATTATCAAACTGATATCGACACCTCGAAATTGGAGTAGTAATTTTTTATTTACTTAATATTTGGTTCAGTATTTCAATAACTGTACGATGTACAAAAAATTAATGTAGTGGAAATCATTTTGTAATAATATTTGTATTGTTTATTATAGCTTATAGATAATACACAATATAAATTGCACAACCATATAAAAAAAATTAAAATAAAATACAAATAAACATATATTTTTTTTAACCTAATTTTTAGATTCAGAGTGAAACGAGAAATATATATTGGTTATACCTTGATGTGTGTGTTTGATTACATTTAACATCATTGACGATTTAATGAAAATGTATATATTTATGTATTTCATAAGATTATGTACCAATAATTACCAAGATTATAATCCTTTCGTCCGCTATAGAATAATGTTTTATCTTCTTTTTTTCATACTTCCGTCGTTTGGTCATCTAATTTCTTACTGAGCTAATATGTTTATATTATATTTTTTAATAGTGTCCAGTAAGTACTGTAGCTCCCAGTTTGCTTTAAGTCCTAATATTCCATGTACCAATTTTTATTCCATTTTCCAATTTCAGTCGTTGTCCAATTATCTAATTCCGAGGCTTATTTTGTGGTTTCTTATCATGTTATTTTTCCGATGTAGGGTTGTTAACCCTACGATTAACCTTCAAGGATTAGGGTAGGATAGGACTATTGCAATGTACCAAGGTTAGGTTATATTATATATATATATATTATAATCATATATTATATATGGCAGGGTAGTCATACATAAAATATTAACATTTATTATTAACAACAAATTTGACTTAATAGTTATATTTTTACAATATTCTTATACATATATATTTACCGTATACGGACGTTTTGAAGTGATTATTTTTATTAGTATATATTTTAATAAAATACTAATAACAATTATTTTCTGTTATCAAACCCCTATGTGTACAATAATCTTAGGGAAGTTATTTCCCATTCATTTTTTAAGTACTTTGAATAAATAAAATTTCAATATTTTTCTCATCATACTAGACCATGGGTTCTTAACCTCTGTCCGCGCCCCCTTTAAAACTATTTTATGAGTTCAGGCCCCACCCTCTCACTACTATAGGATTGATGTACGTATAATATTTATATGTAAACTATACTTTAATGTTGGTTATTGGATTAATAAGAATACAACTTCAATGAAGTTTTATTAATATTAAATTATTTTATTTGCATAAAAAAAAATCGAAAACTGCGGCGACCTATACAGCGACAAGGCACGGCTTAGAAAATGGCAACGTTTTCATTTTTTGTGTTTTTTTTTTTCAACATTTCACGCTTCCCCTGGAATTTGGTCAGGCCTCCCTAGGGAGGGGGGCCCAGGTTGAGAACCATTGTCCTAGACCATAATATGGTTATATTATAAGAAAGAGCTCTGAACATTTCGTATCTAGCATTTACATTTTTTCTGTGCTTACTGAAAGCTTAAAGAGAAGTAGGAGTAAAAACTGGACAATATAGATATTTATCGGTCAGTTTCATTTTTTTTTACAATGTAATACTATGCCAAAAGTGTCCTTTTAATGTTAAATAGGGGAACTTTTCCTAACGAAGGCTTTTATCTCACGCTAATTTGTTTAATTTTAGGTAATGTCCTAGTTAATACAGCTGGACCAATAAAATTGTAGTGGTTGTTCAATAAAAAATGTTATAATGTTTGATAATTTATATAATATAAAGTATATAATACCAATAGGTATATTAAGTATTCCCTAGTTTGATAATGTGATCACGAGAATGTAACATTAGTACGAATCATTGTATTAACATAACTATATTGCATTTTCTATGTATGAAATAAATTAAAACCATGTGTAATCATTTAGGATATTCAAACATTTATTGACGAAGCAGAACACGGAGTCGTTTATTTCTGTATGGGCAGTTTATTACGAGGTGAAACTTTTACAGTTGAAAAAAGAAAAATGTTTTTAAAAGTCTTTGAGAAAATTCCACAACGAGTTCTATGGAAATGGGAAGGAGAACTACACGACAAACCATCGAATGTTATGATACGTAAATGGATGCCTCAACGAGATATATTAGGTAATGTAATATATAACTTAAATGTCTACGCATGTTAAATGCCTAATTATCCTTTGACCTATCAGCACACGCGCAAACTTTCAATAAGTCGACGCGACACAATGAGCCATTATAATATTGTAATATATTTATTAATGAAATTTGATACTTCATTTATAAACTCTAAGATTTAAGTTATGATTGTACATCAACTTTAATATTGCTTACGTAAATGAAAAGATTCGGTTTATATACGGGTTATTGTTAGCATACGGGGAGTCTAGTACTAGAGGTGTATAGTAACTACGTCTTATATCATTTCGGACATATCGTCCTTTATTTCATCAATTATAATAAAGTTATAAAGTAAAATCATAAAAAGTCTATTTTATTTTTTTTTACACCTTTAAAAAAATATTCGACGTCCGTCCTCGAAGATAGTCTTTCTATTTTTCTGTAAGTGCTTAGGCTATTCAAGGCATTACAGTTAGTAGGTACCTGTCTTATATGCATTTTATATTACATATTACATTAATTTACATAGTTTCTAGATTTCATAAATACGTAGAAAATTATTAAATTGAATCTATTAATTTATATTTATAAAAATATTTTAGCAATAAAAGTTCATTCATATTATATTATTATGTATTTATTATAATTTAACAATATTGAAAACTGTAATCCTTGTATATACGTAATTTGTGTTCAAAAGTATAACATTTTCTTCTTAGGATTTTTTTTTTTTTTTATTGAAAGAAATTTATTTACAATCTATATAAAACAATAAGTAAATTTGATAAAAGAATTTTCGACATGAGTTCACATGACTAGAGAAAATATCCACTGATATATGTTTCTTAGGATTTGAAATTTTTATATTTGATATAAAATTCCTATAACTTATAATATCATTTTTATGGGTACAATTATTAGTGTATCCAAGATTTTATTACTGTTGGTTAGCCTCATTCAGAAAATACCATGTTGTGGTAGCATCAAGCAACTATATTCTATGTAATAAAAATGTGCTCACTGTGATCGAAAGTAATGATTTACATTATTTGCTTCATAAATTGATAATTTAAATCACCTTTCACAATAACAAAATTGATTAATAAGTACCTAATTATAAATTGTTGATTTTATTTATTGTATTTCCATTGTTATTCAATTAACAACAACTTATCTATACCATTTAAACAATCTACTTGTAATTTTTTTTTTGACGATTGAGATAATTTAACTGCGAGTAGAATATACATGATTAGCATAAAAATTATAAATATTTTGATGAGTTTTAATGTTTGCTATAAATGTATTTAATTTGTTTTCTGGGCGAATACTTACATGTCCATAAACAATTATATAGGAAATAGGTACTAATCAAATAACCCAATGCAAAAATAAACATTTACGAAATTAACAATTTTACGCCTTAGATTTTTGTTACATTCTATATGGTTTTTTACATAATTATAACAGATTTTATAAAATATACATTTAAAACTGATTTTTTTTGTTAAAAATGTTTTTTAACGACCTTATTTATTTATTTAAAATTCATATATATATATATATATATATATATAAAATGTATGCCAAAGGTTTCATTTTTAAAAATGTTCATTGTTTTTAATATCAAAAAATATAACATTTATTGTGTTTGTTTACAGCTCATCCTAATGTTAAATTATTTATCTCTCATGGTGGTTTATTGGGAACTACTGAAGCTGTGTATGAAGGCGTTCCAATTTTATCAATACCAATTTTTGGTGATCAAATGACAAACGTCAAAGCTGTTAGAGATAAAGGAGCTGCGGAGATTATGTATTATACTGATTTAAATGAAGATGAAATTTTTACAAAAATAAATTCAATGCTTACAGACCCTACGTAAGTGTTTTATGAAATTGTCTGCATAACATAGCTACATGAAGTGCTATATGTACAGCTACATGAATGCATACACTACATTTAGCTTAATTTAAGATGTGTGTCAGAAGATTGTTGATTATGTTTCATATTAATTTGTATAATTTAGATATAAACAAAAAGCCAAAGAGTTATCAGAAGTATTTCGCGATCGACCTATGTCTCCTCTGGAGACTGCCGTGTACTGGACTGAGTATGTTATCAGACACAAAGGGGCACCACACCTTCGTTCAGCTGCTGTTGGAATGCCATGGTACCAATATTATTTAATCGATGTACTGTTGGTAATTTTTATATCGATCGCAACTATCTTTGTATCATTGTACTACTTAATTTTCAAACAAATTTTACGACTTATATATAAAAAAAGTAAAGAAAAACAAACATAATCTAGTAATTTACATTTAGTTTAGGCATAGATGAAATATACAATATATATGTATATTTAATCTATGATTTAGGTACTATGAAATATGTCCTATTTCATTATTATTATATTATATTGGCTCCGAAGCAATGTGTAAAATAATTCCGGGGTCGTCGTCGATTTTAAAAGTGAAAAAAAAAGATACTGTGAAATAATAAATCCAATTGTTCTATGGTGTCCATAATACATATATACATTTATAAGTAGGGGTTTCAATGCAAAGTAAAATAACAATTATTTATATTTTTTCATTGAATTTCTTTGTGTAATTTTATCAATTTATGAGTTTGTAAATGTTATTTTGTGTAATATTTTTTTGTATTAATAAAAACTTCCTCTTTTAATGGTAAGTTGAATTGAAAGTTATGTATTAATAATGTTTTTATAAAGCCACTGTCATTCAGATAAACATTATTTACAATAAACAAAAAGTTATTTTTGATATCAATACTTCGATTAAGTTGATAATAACCATAATTAAAGTTAAAGTATATATCAAGGTAGAAACGATTGCGTATATTTTACTTTTTTTATGATGCGATTGCAAACGTTTTTGTATACTACGTTACCAAATTAATATTTTTCTAAATACGTATACATTTCCGAATTTTATTTGATGATTTAATTACATTTTTTTTTTAGTAAAATCTACTCGATATTTATAATATTGTTATATTATAATTACGTTACAAATTAAAATAAAATGATTCAATATATTGTTTAATTAAAAAATGTTTCTTGTTACAAATATAAATAAAATAATATAATAATGTATAAATATATATTAATATATAATATATTCATAAAATATTGCTTAATATTAATAAAAAAATTTAAAAAAATTACAAGATAATAGTTTTGAATAAACTACACGTCTATACGAATCAAATTGGTTTTCCATTAAATTAATATAAATTTAGGAAAAAATATTATAGTTAAATATGTTATTATTTATTCTATATCTTGTTTACTATCCTATTACCCGGCGTAATAATAGAAAACCATGTTGTTAATCTTATAAAATTTGATTATTTGAAAATAAAACAAAACAAAATATAGATAAATAATATTAAATTTATTAATTCGGTAGGTTGCGATAACGAAAAAAAAGCGCGCCTAAGCAATTCAAAACAGCGCAGTGATGGTGCAACTTGCCCATTTTATCTTTTTCTAATCATTTTCTAATTTTATTATGTTGCGGGAAAAGGTCTGTTTGTAATCGTGCCATTCTCAATCGTATATTATTAAGCGTATTAAGGTCGATTCACACATAACAGTGAAGTGACGTGATGTAACATCAGTGAGCTTCAGTGAAAAAAAAAATATTAATAGACCGTGATAGATCGTGCGTGTTCAGATGCGTCCGACGCAGTGAAGCTCTGGCGTTCACAGTGCTCATCAAGTATCCGTGATAGAAATAAAAATACGTCGTCGCCGATATTTTTTGTTTTTCACGAACGTCTAAACACAAATTTCGACCAGTGTATTTTGTTTTAAGTTGTTTTTATGTAAAATATTTATGTCATAAACGACAAACTTTTGATTGAGTTGGTGCGGAACAGACAGGTTCTTTATGATTTGAAGGACCCGAAGTATTTAAATTTCGATTTGAAGGGAAGAATATGACAGGAAATTGGTGAGGAAATGAAGACTGATGCTGAGTATTTGTATTCGTTATTTATTTATATTAAAACTTTATATTATAACTATTAGTTAATACATGTATATCAGTATATTATGTAATGGTGTGAAATAATAATTTAAGTTGGAAATTATCTATAACTTTCATATGGGATGAATCCAGTGTCTTCTTTTTTCGTTCTTTTCGTCCTGGTCCAAAAGCAATGCTATTATACTAAGCTCTTCTATACTAAAATTCATAGTGCACTTAAGAAATTAATTAATTAAAAAAATAAACACTAAAAATTAAATTAACTTAAAATTCAATTCTGAATAACAACTAGACAGTAAACACCACTGATCACGAGGGAGCACTGGTATAAAAAGGAATACGGTATAAAAAGGTATAAAAAGGTATACCGTATACGGTATCGTGAGAATGAATGTGAAAAATTCGTCATCACGGATGGCACTGAACACGGAAGGTTACGGTCACGTCACGTCACGTCAAGTCACTGTTATATGTGAATCGACCTTAAAGCGCAGTGTTTAAATTAAAGTAATATCTTGAACTTTATAATAAGTTATTATATTATTAATAACATTTAAATTTGAACTGCTTTTTTATTGATAATTCAAGTATATTCGACTTGTTATTTAATATTATTTAGAGATGGATCATTTATCGGTTTGCAGTTACGTATCTATAAAAATGTGTTTTGAGAAAAAAACTTAAAAATAATAGGTTTTCGAACGGTAAACGATCTTATAACAAATGAATCGGTGTCACGGCCGAGTGTTTTAAAAGCGCGATCGGAAAATTTGTTCGTTATGCGCGCGCAGCGGTGGTGTCCAGCTGATTTAAGTACTATGAAATATTTTTATCCGTGCAACGCTGTTGTGGCGTATTGAATTACCACGCTCGACAGGTGCGTGTATGTAATATACCGTATATGCGTTTGCACAGTGCCTCGGCTGTCAGTTATAGTTGATATTCGTTCGGTCATGACGGCTTATATCACTACTCGA